CCTGAGAGATAAAAAAATCAACGAGTAAGGACATAAAAGAGTACAAGTCGCCACCAAAGATTACCTTACCAACAAAAGCCGCTAGTTCACTGGCGGTTTTTCCAATCGAGTTAGTTGAGTAGGAGCGTGCGCCATGATCCATCAAATTTTTGCAGATGTCAGGTCTTCCTGAAGAAGCAACGCTCAAAGGAAAACATGGAAATGGCGACAGTGAATTTGAATGAAATAATCCATACAGAAACCATTTTCTGAGTAAGTCTAATTAATAAACATCTTCCCAGTAATTCTGAATGACAGTTCGTTCAATTATGTTTTGAAGTTCGTAAGATTTGCGCTGGAACCTGCTCTACCGAGCAGATGCCATTAAGCGAAAACTATAACTATGAAACCGACCAGCAAGCGCTGCAAACATAAGCGGAGTATAGCCTTGGTTGTGCTCCTTGTCGTTCACATTGGCTCCTTTATCTATGCATAGCTGAACCAGATCCGAAGAGCCCCTGAAATCACGACTCGATCAAACGACATCTCAACTAAATCTTCTTGAAAATCTTACTGATTGACCATTTAATTGGTCTTTCGAAAAGCTGTAAATTCAAAGCTATTGGTGGATTAAGTAGGGAGTTCTGTTTTTCATACCACTTTAAGAATGACAGAAAACCAAGTATAAGGCATGAAACATTTGGCTCTAATACAAAGCGATTGAAAGCCTGGTTGGGCAGAGCGATTTTAGTACGATAATTGGGCACTATTTACCCTTTACTGCCCCACTCTCGAAACTGAGCCGGATTTTTATCGAAATTTGTCCATGACTGTGGATTTGGCTAGAAACTTGCCTTCGGGGTAATTCGACCCGTAGAACACGAATATCACATTCGTTTACCGCTAAAACGCTTGGCGCTCGCGCAGCAGGTGCCGGCAGAAAATGGTCACCTAATTTGCTTGTCTTCAAAAGTATCTAAATCCGTGTAACATGAACTTGACGTTAGTTTGTTAGCCTGCGCCAAAGTGGTGACAACTTCGGCGCCTGTAGAGCAGGAGGCAAACGTTTTCGCGCTAAAGTGTTCTACGGGTAGAAATACTACCCGATCAACTTTTTCTAGCGAAATCCTCGGCCCATCGGCATGGAAAATCTGGTTCAGTTCTTGAGCAGTGGCGCAGTAATGGGTAAATAGTGCGGATATTTTGTTCTACGGACCATTCTGCTTGAGGTCAATGACGTCACTTGCATCTACATCCAAGTCGAAATAAATAATAGAAAGGAAGAAGTATATACAAGATTTGATGTTCCGATACAGTTCCTTAATATTGAACAACGGCAGTTAGAGCCAGAAAATGCACTCGAAGACCGACCTGTAAGCTGCCGCAGCGAGAACAGACATTCCCCCTTCATCATGAGAATTGACGTCAACGCCAGATTCAATCAAGTTGGCAGCTTTCTCGAAGTCTTCTAAATTTGGAACGAGTATTGCCGAACGAGTATTGCGAAGCTTGGCATTTCAAACTAAAACAAAAATATAAACAGCAAAAATAAAAAATTTGAAAAAAGTCACACACTGGCTTCAATGGCCGCGAAGAGTTCCTTTTGTTTCTCGGCCATGCCGGTTGCCTCTTTTGAGAAGGACAAGGCAGAAACCCTGGTAAATACTGAATATAAGGAAGTCCTGGAAACAGGGAAACATGATTAAGCGTATGGTGACATGTTGGATAAAACAAACATTCAGCGTCAGTTTGACGTAATCTGAAGCGAGACTGGTGTCAACTGGCCCGGCGCTAAAATGAATGCCTATTCGTGATCCGGGAACACCTATAGGTGAAGGTTCAGGATTTTGTAAAACCTTCTTTGGGATTGCACTGTTGCGCATGTCCCTAGGTTGTGTGCAGAAGAGCCATAAAGGGGGGTATAGACTGTCGGTATCCCCGGGTGAGAGCCAGAGAGCTCAGGACTAAGCCTGGAGAGGAAGAGGCTTCTTCACCCTAGGCTTAGTCTTGAGAAACGAGAACTGTCCAGAATGCTCCTTCCCAACATTTGGAGCTAGTCATCCAGCCTGCTCCAACCTGTCTCTGCGCCATAGCCCCTAGCGTTATAGACATAGAAGACAAGGGAGTACTTCCCTCTACCTGAAGCCCCAGTTCCCCCGCCCAATATTACATGACATTGACGTACAGTTCCGAGCGCATTTACAACAAAAAGAGAGAAAAAACAAAGGCAGAAGTTGTTCAAAATTAAAGACGCGTGTTTTAGAGAGCAGTTGTGCAAGTTGCGGTCAACATCATCTGTTTGTCGCTACACTTGAAAGTCGTTCACGTCGCCGCCACTGGTCACGCCCGTTCCCCAGTCTTATTTCTCAACAAAATGTAGCAGTTGTTTCGTGCATAGTGCAAGTGTGACTAGCTATGCCAGCATGACAATTAACCAAACGTGCCTTTTTCCGGGTGAAGCAGGTTTTAGTTGTCGCCCTAATCTTTATTAAAATTATGGCGCACAC